TCATGGGACCAGAGCGTTTCATTTCTAGTAAGCCACACCACGGCCCATAAATTAATACAGGATTATGCTTCAGCATTTACTCTGCAGGCTTGTTTTGAACTGAAAAGGAAAGGCAATTGAAGGATGAAGAAAAAAGAAAATGATCCGATGAAAAGTGAACAGTTGTTCAAAACCTGACAGTGCGCATTAGCATAAGCACTTTCCTAGGAGCAAACTAAGAAACTTACACCATTGTATTCTGTTAATGCTGATAAGCATCATTTCTTCCTCTCAAAACCTGACTCATTTTACATATGGAAAATGTCTTACCCTCTGTCAAAATGTATATGGGTAATCTTAAATCTCTCTGAAAGCCAGTTCAGCAATTGTAGTCACAATCCCAGCTAAGCCCAGCATTCCAGGCACTCCCACCAAGGTGCCAGTCTTATCAATAAAGCTGTTAGAGACCCTGCAGGGCAGCACATCCAAAACCGAGTGCTACCAAGTGACCTCTGCCAACATCAAGAAAAAGTGGGAGAATCACCCTGCTAAGCTCTGTCTTAAGTCTTAATCCCCCAAAGAATCAAAGATAATAGAAATAATGTTGTTGCCAAACTATGGTCCATGGACCAAATCCAGCCAACCACCTGTTTCTGTACGGCTTGTGAGCTCAGAATGGATCTTACATTATTAAATGGTTGAAGGAAATCAAAATAACAATAATATTTTGTGACATAAGAAAATCATATCAAGTCAAACGTCAACGTCCATCAATAAAGGTGATTGGAACACAGCCACGCTCATCTGTCTGTGTCCTGTCGATGGCTGCTTTTGTATGTCACAGTCAGAGTGGAGTAACTGCAATAGAGAGCTCTAAAATATTTACTACGTGACCCTTTACAGAAAAAGTTTAACTTCTGTTTCAAACCACTAAGTTTTGTGTTAATTTGTTATGTGGCAATAGATAAGCAACTGTAATCTAAGTCAAAAGGAAATTTGCAAATGGAATACCTAAGTTTAACATAACAGTCGATTTCTTAACCACATATCTTTACAGTTAAACCTCAAAAGGAAGCTAACAACTGAAAAAAATTTAACACTGAACTTCCTGAATGTTTCTCTCATTTATTGCATTCCAATGGCAACATTCTATTCCAATGGGGAAATAGGATGAATGTAACATTTTTTGAGCCCCTACCATATGACAGACACTGTGTGAGGCCACAGGGATGCAATGGTAGTGAAAACAGATAAAGATCCTGCCCTCTTGGCACTTACAGTCCAATGGAGAAGAAAGCAATCCAATAATTCCACAACACAACCTGCAATAGTTTTATCAAAATAATTGCCATCTGCAGCACCAGCTTTAAGTGAAGACAAAAGAGACCTCATTGAGCCTGAAAAGAGGAAAGACATTCCCACATGGGAGAGGAGCCCAGCACAGGCTGCGTGGGCTCTTTATCTCTTGGTAGGAAGGGTGCTGAGCCCAGACCTTGTTCCTATGCTGCCGAGGAGGGGCAGAAAGACTGTGTGTGGGGGACAGTCTTTCCCAACAACAGCCAGGCAGATACAACACATTCCATACATGCTTTCAAGATAAATAACTAGTCCTCAAGCAAGAGGATTTGACAGCACCATGGGTCACACAGTTCACTCTAACTTAACCTGGTGATTGGGGTAACCATCTATGCTAGCTAATTGGCTTTATCCAGAGGAAAACCAAACTTCTCCTATCTTTTTGATAGGAGGTAGTTTTGTAACTTGGAGCAAGGCGCCTACGGAAGCTCTGCTCCAACTCTCCCTCACCAACTGGGAGACAGAGGTGCTATCTCTTTAGATGTTCACATTTCAGAGATGGTTCCCAGGTCCTTGAGAAAGACATTTCTGGGTCACTAAACTGACAAAAGGCCTATCACATCTTCAAAGGATTTATGTCCATTTCAAAGAGAAGAGAAAGTACTTACAAGTTTTCTAAAGCAAATGCTCTGAGAAAAAGGAAGGAGGACTCTCTTCTCTTGATTTCAACAGGGAGAATTAAGCCTCGTATTTTTAATTTATTTTTCTCCCTACACCTGTCCAAACGAAAACAGATGGAGCGTTGAGAAATGAATAATATCCACTGAATTTAGGGTCACAAAAATCATTGATGACCTTAAAGAAGACTGTGACTGGGCTGCCCTTAGAGCAGAAGCCAGAGGGAGCGAGCTAGAGATGACTGTAGGTGAGGTCATAGAAAGCGTAGTTTAATGACGTTACCTGTGAAGAGAGGATAGGGTGAAACGTGGAGGGAGGGAGTGGAGCCAGAGGTTGGCTGCTTTTCCTTAAGATGGGAGGTAGCTGAGCGTGTTCAAAGCTAACGAAGAGGATCTAGTAGAAAAGGAAAAGTGAAAAATTCAGGTAGAGAGGCAGTCACTGATGGCGTCAGATTCCCGGGAAGTTAGGGAGGATGGAATTCCAATCTGAGACAGGAGGATTGAGGCCTTGCAAACAAGGAGAGCTTGGGTGTGAAACCGGCAGTTAGCCAATGATGATTAAGTAGCTAGTAACTGAAGGTTTTCTTTCCTTTTTGCTATTACTGATTATAGCTTTTAGCTATTTACCCACTCATTGTTAACTGTGCTGTTTAGGCAAAATGCTATCTGACTCCCGCTATGTTCCTACAGATAACATCTCCCTGGAGCCTGGATCACCATGGTAATGAGCGTTTGAGCTGTTTTTCAGGAATTAGAACCCCTTGTCCACTTCAGGCTGTTTGAGACCATGAACCCATCAAGTGAGCCCGCACAGATGTCCTATAAGAGACCTTTTGACATCAAGACGCTAAAAACTCCATCCTCAGATCATGCTAACACCACCATTTTGTGAACACGCATCTTATGAAGAGCCAAGAAGTCTGACCACACTTGCACAGACCATCAATTACCTCACCTCTCCTCACCTCCAATCATCTATCTCCTCATTTCAGACCACCTTGCCTCCCTACCCCATAAATATCCCTGAGTCCCCATTTTTGGGGAAGCAGATTTGAAACTCATTCTCCCATTTCCTCACTTGGCTGCCTTGTGATTAAACCCTCTCTCTGCTGCAAACTCATCGTCCTGGTGTTTGGCTTTCTTGGGAAAGGGCAAAAACGAAACTGGTTCCGTAATAGGTGCATGTAGACAGCTCTATATCTCAGAAAGAACTGATAATTATGAGGAACAACATTTTAAACAGATGTTCATTTTGTTGTATTTTCATTTGAAGGTTATTTTAGTTCTGATCCCAGGAGGAAATAGCATTTAACCCCATGTTAGCTCACTGGAGAGACTTTAATGAAGGAACTACTTACAGTAGTGTGAGCCAGAGGGAAAAAAAGGAGCCAGAGAGGTAACAGCTGGTATCCCGGGGGGAAAAACAGTGTTTCCAGAGCCCAGGGACACTGGGCTCATCTCTGACATTGGAACTGTGGAGGAGGGGCCCTTGAGGAAGATTCCAACTTGCCCAAACAGCCCCTGCATGGAGAAACAACACTGAGCCTGGAGGGAGAGCGAATAATGTCCTAGTCCCTCCCCTCCTGCCTGTCAATCTCCCACCGCTGTTTCCTATGGGAGGAGGCAGCTGGAGAGAAAGCGATGGGTAGGCCTCCCAGAGCAGAGCCGAGCAGAGAATGCGGGGGCGGGGGGAATTGCGTTGTGTATTCTTATTATATCTTCAATCTTTAATTTACTTGAATTTTGTATCCGTCTGCTCTTTACACACACACAGTTGAGAGATGATTAAAACACACAGCAAAGAGAATGTGCCAAAGCCAGAACGTTTCACGGATGACACTCCTGGCTTTGTTCTTCCTCCCCTGACTACCTCTCCGATTGCTCTCCTTGTGCCTCTACCTTGAATGTCTGTCTTCCTCCCAGCTCTGTCCCGGGCCCTTTATCCTCTTCTGCACTCTTCCTCAGCTGTCTTACCCGCTCCTGTGGCTCCAAGTCTTAGCTACAAAGTGATGACTCACAGCAAATCTGTTTCTCCTGCCATCTCTCCCTCTCTCTCTCTTTCTTTGAACCTTGGACTCATAGATCTACGTGTCTACTGGAAAGTTCTGCTGGGATATCTGACAATCATCTCAAACTCATCAGGTACAAATGGAACTCATTTTTCTCTCCAAATATGTTCCTTCGACCATGTTCCCCACCTCAGGGGGTGGCAACATCATCTATCCAGTTGTTCAAGAGCTTGACACTGTCTGTCACCAAACAGAAACAATCGAAGTCCACTTTACCTCCTACATATTTCAGACCCATCCGTTTCTCGCCAACCTCACCAGCAATTCCTTAGATTGGCCATCATTTTCTCTCATGGAGATTATTCCAACAGCCACCTAACTGATCTTCTAACCTCTATCCACAGCTCTTCTCTGATCCATTCTCTAAACTCCAGCCACAGAATTTTACTATAACCCAAATGTGTTACGATCTGGTCCCTGCTGACATCACCAAACCCATTTTTCACACTCCCCCCTCCTCACACTGTGTCTCCAACCATACCCTCTTCTTCGCCAGAATAACTCCCCTACCCCTCCACCTTCTACCGTAGACTTCCTCACTTCCAACAGGGTGCTTTCCCTCACTCCCTTAATCCAGATGACATGTCCCTCCTCAGGGCTCACCCTCCCATCATAACGTTTATCACACTACATTGTTATTGCCTGTAATTGTCCTTCCTAAATGATAAGACAGAGAACTATTTCTGTGTCAAGTACTGTCTCTCCAGTTCCAAAGTTTTAACCTTGGTAGGAAATCAATACGTATTTTCATATAAGAGAAGGAAGGAAGCAATAAAACACTCCTATGGAACGATGTTAGAATTGGTCATAAGGGAATTTTGCAAAGGTATAGGATGATATGGTAGCTCAGACAGATGATGAGGGTAGTTTAAAATTTAAAGGGCAGGCTTATTAACTACCCCTAGTACCTTTAGGGAAATAGATCTTCCTTTTTTGAACTTCAAATTCGAGGTAGAATTAATTACATTAAAGCTTTCATAATAAAAACACATTTATTAGTGACAAAAAATGGTCTCTGTTTACATCGGTATATGACAATTAAGTAGTAAGATGTGACAGGCTGTGAATTAGTCGGCAATAATTCATGCCTCGGGTGCTTTCACAAGTGTGATAACAGGATGTTATCTTGACAGTAGGCAGCATTCTGAACCCAGCCCATAAAATATTAAATTTCAAGTTTCCATGAAAAAAATCCTTTCCCTAGATTTTTTTTCCTATAAGTACTTTAGTATCAAAGTAGAAAATAAAACAATGGAATTTGAAGTTTCTTTTTTATTTATCTTCTGGACTTTTCTGAACCAACTTTAGAATCTAGCAACATCTCCCCTTCGGCCAGGTAGGAAGCAGCAATGGTGGGATGGAGTAGAAATGAGGGGCGTTCCCCGCTGCCTGCAGCAGTTTGCCACTCTCACCACCCGATACAGTTTTCTGCCACCTTACAAGAAGAGAATTTCTTCATGCAGTGCCTGCCAGCCCAGTGGATTGTTTAGATATTCTCTCTCCCGTGAGAGAACATCCTTCAACTTTTGGAACAGTGTGTCCAACATCTTGGTAGGGTAGGTGGATGTTCCTCAGTCAGGGACTTCCTGTCCAGAAAAAGAAAGAGAGAGAGAGAGAGAAGAAAAAATATTGCGTGGGAATTGTCCTCAGCACAATAATTATACCTTCAAAGGTTCGTTTCTTGACATAACATAAATAGGAACAATATAATCATCAAGTCAGATATTTATCTTGCCTTCCACACAGGGAAATTTCTATAACCAGCATGTTCATTTTTTTCTCATATAGAGGAATCTTTGCTTCAGGCAAGAAGAAGGATGGGGGTGTGTGAAGATTGTTGTCTTAAGGCTTTGCCTGGGACCATTTTGCTCCCTCATTAACTTTGTGGCTGAGGGACATTGCCTCCTACAAGATTTACTTGGAAATCATTGTCCTTTCTTGCACTTCAAATCACTTTCTTGAAACTTTTGCTCTGTTAGACCAAAGTATCGGGTTTGTACTTAACTCAGCTGAATAGATTGGATAGGAAACTATAGGGGAGGAAGACATTTCTTCTACCCACTCTGGGTCCTTCTGGCCAGAAAACGAATTAAATTCACATGAGACAGAATAACAGGAGAAAATTAAACAAAGCTTTATAACACATATACATGGGAGACGCTCATGCAAACTGAGCAACTCAGCCAACTGGCTGATGCTTCCTGTTTAAGTATCTTCAGCTACAGGCAAGGAGGACATTTGGGGTAGTGGTTTGGGTCTTCAAAGGGGAGGAAGGCAACCCACATGGAAATGGAAAAGCAAATGTTTGGTAAATAGAACTTTGATAAGAGTGGGCTTAGCAAGGATCCTCCCAGTCTACTGGAACCCAAAGTTATCTACGGGGATGGCCTGTCCTGAGGACAGGCCTTTATTTTAAATTTCTTTTAGGCAGTTGGGGGGAAAAGTCAAATGTTCTTGCTGAGTCTGAGCCTTTATTGTCTTCAGCTCCAAATAGTCCACATACCAGAGTGGCGCATCTTGGGGCAGCCTGCCCTCAACCTCATCAACACTCTCCTGCAGGGCATCATAGCCTTACTCGGAGGTTGGGGCAAGGGGTTTGCCACATCTTTCTTTCCTACAGCTTCCATCCAGGTTAGCTATGAAAGCACATTATGCCACTGAATACCAGATGTGGCAGGTTCTTATGGCTTCGTGAATAGATTTGCCATTTTTGTTTGGGTTGCTGAGTCAGGAAATTGACATTCTACTGGTGTGCTTTTAAAAGTATTTGATGTAGCTTCATTTTTTTTTCTCTGACAGTTGAAGCAGAAACGTAGATTAGCTGTCTTGATTCCAATTATCTTCCCTGTAGTACATTGCTGATATGCTACTGTGTCAGATAAGTTATGTGAAGTAGAAGAAAATGTCACCTGGTAAAGGTGACAGTGTTTGAGGGAAGAATTGAAAGATATTTCTTGTCATTGATGAGTCTCCAAGAACTTTTTTTAAGACAAGCAGAATTCTTTTGAAATATTTGAATTGGATTTTTTTTTTTTGCCAAATTTGCTAAAAGATTACCATGCTGATGTCAACTTTTGTTTTTGGAAAAGACATAAATTGAGATGGTCAATGTAGTGTTCTACTTGATTCATTCCACATTTGAGAGTTAGAGTGGAAGGTGTTCTTCACGGCGTTTCGAATCCTTCTCTGTTTTTTCATATTGTCTGACAGTAGGCCACAGCTCAGGAAGACCACGTTCTCACTGCCACAGGTGGAGAGGTTTGAGACAATGGTTGGATAGTATCTGGTGAAAAACCGTGTCTTGTGTTTATGTTTTGTGCTGTGAGTTGACCAAGGAAGGCTTAGGCACCTGTGTACTCACTTGCGATTACCCAAAACTGCCTGCAGTGGCTGATCTTCTGGCAAAACTAAGTTTAGTTTTCTTTTATTTAGATATTTGTTTCATAATAGCTTATTATTATTTTTTAAATGTACAACTTTTCATAATGAATCACCTTTATCTCCTTACTACATTGAGAGAATTTGAATCGCAGGTAAAATATAGAATACTATCCATATTTTTGAGGTAAGGGTACATCCCTCAAAACTTTGAGAGTAAGATGAGGGAACCACTTACAGAGATCTATAGGATGACAGAAGAAAGCCGGTGATGATTTATTTGGACCAGGCAGGTAGTGATGGCTTGAGTTCTTTGCCTTATGGATTATATCACTGAGTGTTTGTGTGACATCAGGGTATCACTGTGATATAAAACTTTTCCACAAGGTTTTGTGGTTTAAGCTAGGGCTCTCTTTTAATTCTTCACAGAATGGAAACTCAAGACATTAAATGTTTCTGAGCTGCTACAATGGATCATGACTTCTACTAGATAGGCTTGCAGATCGCCTGATTTGATCATCTTTTCCATCAAAAATAAAACCTTCCGAATCATTTTCAGCACTATAGGAATACATTTTTTCCTTTATTGGCAGAAAAATTCCTGCAAATGTAAATATTCTTAGTTCCTAACTCTCATTTAGTTGATTACCAGCATTTCAATAAAAATGCAACATTCTCGGCCAAGAGTTCCTGTCTTGCCTTCCTCTTAGTATTTATTTGGTCTGTGACAATTACCTCTGGTCCTCAATTTTCTTCAACTCGGTACTTATGCATTGCCAGAAAAAGAAAACTCTTGTAATCATTCTCAAGATGTCTCCCCATTTGCATCCCCGTCTCTTCAACCTAATGAGCAATCAACAAGGCCTTGACTAGAGCCGAGTAGCAACCACAGAGCAATTTTATTGCTTTAGGTTTAGTGAACAGAATGGCACTAGAAACAGACCTGAAAAAAAATAATGTAGATAAATATGGAAAAGAAGGAACGCTTGCAGAGCAGTGAAGAAAGACTTGCCAACAATAAGTAACTTTGTCTATATGTGTTAACTGACATTTTCCCCTAAATACACCCTTGTCTGTCCTTCACAACACACCTCAGGCTCTGAGTAACCACTTTTGATCTGCAAGATGAATTAGGAAAACCCTAGGGACACAGAGGGAAACAGACGGGTATCTACAGGGAGATGAATTACACCTCCAACTTGAAAATGCATGGCTCCTTTCTAGGTCAGCTCCTGTGCTAACAGCACTTGCTAGCTCCCTGATTTTTCCTTCAGGAAATCTGCCTTTTTAGAAAATGTGAAATGAGCAGGAATTCAGGGACAGTTGAGGGAGAAGGGCAAATGAAAGTATGATTTGTGTTAGAAATAATGCAAGAAAAAAATACACATTTTTTTTTGGAGTTGATGAGAGAGAGATATGTGTATATTTTTCCTGGGAACATTTCCTCGAATTGTGCCTAGGTTCAGAAAGGTTGACTAATCCAAAACTTGATGTGGCCCTGAAAAACTGAAATTTGATGTAATTCACATTTTATGGGACCTAGCCCAATCACTAAATAGAACAGTTGGGTTTGTTTTCTGAAATTGCCCTAATAGAATTAATATTTGCTTTTTAAAAATGAGAATCAGTAGCTCTGCATTTTCTCTGTGCCCCTATCGTTATTTTCTAGGTATTTATCAGACCAAAATATGCGCAACATTTTGTTGTAAGCAAACGTCACATGCCAGTTGTTGGAGGCTGTGTGTTGTCGTGGGAGGGGAGGCTGAAGGGAAGATGGTTTATGAACTGGGTGGACTGCTTAAGTATCCAAGAGTGGCCAGGAATGACTGTCTTGATACTCAGAAAAAAACCCTCAAATATCAAATAAAGAAAAGCAATAGAATGAGAAAGAGGAAACCACAATAACTTTGAGTGGAAGGATGAAAGGGTCTTCTTCCTCTTTAGCCAAGCTATGAGTAGTTTACTGTGATCTATGAGTTTTGAAAAAGCAGACTTGGCTACCACACTACTGAGGACAGTCGACAACTACCAAGAAACCTGCAGATGGTAAGAGATCTGAAAGGAAAGAACCCAGCTGCAGCCCTAAAACAATGGATCCATTCATTCTTTGAGTGTTTCTTAATTTTTCTCATGTCACAGACACTGTTCTCACCCAGGAGATACAACTATGAAGCAACAGACAAGGCTCCTCCCTAGTGAATCTCATGTACTGGGAGGAGGGAAGGAGGAAGGAATTATCAATAAACAAACAGGCCAATGAAATCTTCTCAGACTGAGTGGTAGGGTCTGGATGCAGATTTAGGTTGGGGACCAGAGAGGTCCTCTCTGAGGTCGTAACTTTGAAATGAGATCTGAATGCTGACATGGAGCCAGGCATGGGAAATATGGAGTCTGATAATTTGAATGACTATTAACTAGCAAATTTGGCCCCATAGTTATCACAATCACATCTCCATACCTATAGAATTTCAAAGTGACATACTACTAAAAGCATTTCTGAGAATTCTGGCAACTTCCATGCAAATGTTGCATTAAATATAATGCAGTATATCCCCTAGGCATTGTTTGATTTATTTATTTTTTAAATAAAATCCATCTAGTCACCATTCATACTCAGGTATATTTCTCCTGTTAAGATAATCACCTTTTTGGTCTTCCAGTATTAATTATGGTTCTTTTCAAATTGTCTTGGCACTCTCACTATTTAGAAGGAGTATTAATCTGAGAAAACAAAACATATTTTGGGCTATTTAGGAAGTTTTCTTCAGACAAAGGTTACACTAAATGTTTGTCTTGGCATGAACAAGTATTTTTTCTTGTCTGTGATTTAAAACCAATTTGTGTTACTTTGTGTTAGCCTTCAGAGAGCAAAGCTACATCTTACATGATAGTCAAATGCTATATTTCTACTCTCAGAGTATTTACAAATTAACTAATTTCCTTGTAAAATTAGTGCTCATTTCTCAAGCTTACTCTTATGCATAGGAAAGGTAAATGTTCATCACTGCATTGTGAATGTAGGATTTCAGGAATAACAGTCAAAACTTTCCATTTATTATGGTAGTTAGCAATTGCCCACATTCTCATAATTTCTATTTCCTTCTTGCTTAACTTATTGTCAGTCTCAGATCGGTAATACTAAAACTAGGAACAAAGGAGTTAAAAAACCTTCCCTGGGCTAGAAGAAGAGAAAAAAAAACATTTTGAG